AAAGAAATGTGTATAAACAAGAAAAAACAATAAAACAATGTTGTATACTAAATAAAATTAATTATGATAAACATAAAAGAAAATTTTTTAATTTATATTTAAATGGTCGATAAACAGTACAAGTTCTTATAAAATTTGGTAGCCTGTTCCATTTATATACCCCATAAAAACATATATTTCTATTGAGTAGTTTGGTTTTAACAATAGATTCTTTTAATTTTTTTCAAAATTGGAACTCAGTGGTCTTGCCTTGATTTCATATTTAAATGAATCATGTAGGTAATTGTCTGATGGTCTTATATCACTATTAAGAAATCGAAAAATAAAACAACAGCATTTAAGATAATTTATTGGTTTTTAACATCAGAGTTTTTTAATTTATTTTCACATTAGATCTTGATGTTCTAGCCTTAACATAATATTTAAAATGGTTCATATTGGTGACCATCTGATGTTTTTAGAAGATTATTTATAATTTTATAAATAAAATAACTACATTTGAGATCATTAATTTTAAACATTGATAAAATCTTAAGTTTATGTGAAAGGCTTTTTTTATCTAAAATGTTTTGAAAATTTATAATTTTTAATGCTTTTCTGGGCATTAAATAAAATATTTAAATATTTTTGCATTCAATACGACATAGAGGAATAAAGATTGCACATATTAACTAAACAAACATTGTTAAATGCCAAAATTGCATATATTCAGTCGTAACTGTAAGGCTTTGTTTGATAAAATTAAAATAATAGATGTAAGACATAAATATTAGAAAAAATTAAAATGTTTCACATAAAAAACATATGTATGCATACACACATACAACTATATGTATATATATGTGTGTATATATATAGGTGTATATATATATATATATATTTATACAATATTCTATTAAATTTACCGAATGTTTGGCGTTAACATGTTTGTAGTTCGTTTTTTCGATTTTTTAACTAACTAAAGTTTTTTTAGTTTATTAAAATTCAAACTCAACTTATTTTCCGGATTCATGTTGCAAATAAGGTCATATTTAGATTCCGAATGAATCATCATCAGTGCGGTTGATGTTTATATAGGGAAATGTTGACTTTGTCAAAATGAACTTAGATGGAAATTAGGTGGCAGATTTCTTTATTGGCTGGTCACCTACTTTAGTCTCCTTTTTTTCACGATGATCTCTAGGACTGCAGTTGTTTTTCAGTATTAGGTGAGACGTCTTTTTATTGTTGTAATAAATTTGGAGTTTAACTTTACTATTTGGGTTGGTTGGTGTGACATTTTTACTGATGATATGTTTAAGAATAGCTTCATCTACCTTGTATGCAGTTGACATGTGATTTCTGTAATACAAGATGATGTCGTTATCTACTACCTCACTGACTAGAAGGCTTACGATGCATAAACAGATTGGTGCTATCAAATCTCATTTGGACTCAACACACTCAATCACAATTAGCCGTGAAATCCTCGACAGCAACACCAAAGTAATTTACCAGAACAGTAACTACACGCATCTTAAAATTGCAGAAGCAGTCCTAATTGACATCAATAAACCAAAAATAAATATACAACAAAAAATGACAACCTCACTTCCAACCCGGCGCTTAACCAACAACGAAAACAAAGTAGTAATAAAAACTACCATTGTAAATAGTGACAAAGAAGAGTATGATGCCATCGATGAAGAAATGGAGACCAAAGAAGATGACCAGCCAATAATGAAACCTGACATCTAATTCGCATCAAAGTTCAATTTTACAACACCAAAGTTAATTTTTACAACGTCAGAGTTCATCTTGACAAAGTCAATATTTTCTTATATATGCAGCAAGGAGCACTGATGATGATTCATTTGGAATCGAAATATGGCCTTATTTGCAGCATGAATTCGAAAAGTAAGTTTATTTTGAATTTTAATAAACTAAATGTTCACCAAAAAACTTTAGTGAGAAAAATCGAAAAAACGAACTACAAACATATTAACGCCAAACATTCGGTAGAATTTATAGTATATTGTAAAAATTATGGTCTATTACCAACATATATATATATATATATATATATATATATATATATATATATATATATGCATGAATATATACATACATATGACGAGAAAGAAGAGAAACAAAATTAAATTAATAATTACGAAATGAGTGAAAATACTACAAGATGTAAATAATGTATCAAAAGAATGAATAAAAAAACATGACTAAGACATGTTTGTTTTCTAATGAATGTCTTATATACGTTTCTAAAAAAATTGTATATTTTCCATAGTTCATCTGCGTTTTAATACACCTGTTTGTGCATTGGATATTATGTTGCTTATTTGTAAATATCAAGGTAGTCTGTAATTGAGGATTTTTTCAAATAATTTGCAATGCACGTGTGTGTTAGTGACATCGGCCGTTTAATTTCAGGTGCGGATTTTTGTTGATACGGTTTATTTATGCCCGACGATAGATGTCTGTTATTTTACAGTGAGTCCATATAAAGTTGTCAAGTTCCAATTTCAAAGTCAATCATTCGAATACCGTATCATGACATAAGAGTGATGAAAAACAACCTTGTATCTGATAAATGGCAAAAGGAATGGAACAAGATAAATAATTTCCTCAAAATAGTAATGCCAGAATTAAATAAACCCAAAAACATCAAAATCAACGAGCTAAGTTGAAATGTTTTAAACATCGTAAACAGACTAAAAATTGGCCATTTCAAATTAACCCATTCATGGATTCTAAACAAAACAAGCCCTCAACTTTGTAAGAACTGTGATGCAAAACTAACAATTCAACACATATTAATAGAATGTCAAACATACAATGAATCCAGAAATAAACATCAAATACCAGAAAATATCCACTCAATTTTTAAAGATGAAAATATAAAAAACCTAATATCATTTATCAAAGAAATAAACATTTTTAACAACATCTAATTTCTCCGCTGTTCAAAAGTGATTTGCAAAAGAAAAAAAGAAAAGAAAAAAGAAAAGAAAAAATAAATTGAATCAACAGAAACCAAAGGCTTAAAGATAGCCTATCAGAGCTGAAGCGCCGTAAAACTGCAGAAGAGGAAGAAGAATTTCAAATAGTTTGTTTATGAAAGACAATAGTAATGTTATCTGATTTGGTCCAGGAGTCGAATTTCTTTCTTTATTTTGTATGATTTTTATTTCTTTCTTTGGCGTTTAACGGCGTTTTAGCACAAAGAGGCTACCTTTACACCCTGGGGTCATCACAGTACTGGTTTTGGTTCTATTTGTATTTGGAGCTTCTCAACTCTTTAAATCTTGTTTAACATTTTGTATTAACATTTAATATTTTGTATGATATTTCATCAAAAGTGATAAAGATTATTATAACTTACTTGATTATTTGTTTTAAAATTTAAATTAATTTTTTCTTCATTAGTTTTAAATTTTAAGAAATTTTTATTTAATCGATTTTTTGAAGACACGTTTTTAGAATGATTTATCTGCTAAAACGTTGCAATTTTGTTGTCTTGTCTGGATCAAATAATTGTGCATCAGGTGGTTATATCTATTTTCGTTATTTATTTTTGTTATTCATCAATTTACCATTTTCTTCATCGTTGTAAAAGATGTTTTAGTATTTATATTGTTTGCAAAATTTATCCAACTTCACTTTTTTTCTTTCCTTGTTATTTTTTTGCCCTCGCTTTACATTTTCTATAATTTATTGGATTGGTTTAACAAAGAATGTTTGTGAATGTTTTAAAAGCTTTAAGTTTTATCTTATTATTTTAATAAGTGATGACTTGCATTTTTTAATGTATCACAGATTTTTAGGTTTGTAGTTTCATATTTTTTTTGTCGGTGTACAGCTCTTTAAGTATGTCTAAATGATTTGGTGTACTTTTGTTGGGCAGTGGAAACTTCTTTTTTTGTACACTAACAATTGTCGCCGCCAGCCTAGGCAGTCCCGTTTTTGATCGGGACTTGCCTCTCTATAATGAATTGTCTAAGGGTCGGAAAACACGGCCGAGCGAAAAAAACTCTCTCGCTCTACTTCTGCTGACATACTTGCCATGTTTTAGAGAAGTTAAACGGAAACACGTTTATTAAAACGAAAGAAAATACCAACAATGTCTGTCAATATAAATACTGCACAGTTTTCAAGAGGAGTTTTCAAGAGGAAAATCCTTGCGATGATGTGTGCTTTCCACAACTCGTCTGAAGGAATATCTGAAAAAGACGATTTGGGAACGTTGGCAGCTTTTTCTGGCGTTTTGCCCCAGTAGTACCGGTCTTCCCAGCGATACCAGCTGGCTCTCCGACGTATCGTTTCCGTGCGAGCATTATTTTTCCATTTCAATACATTTCAATCCATTTGTTCATGGATGTTCGTTTTTGATTACAAATTCGCTCATTTCATTGTTGCAAATAACTAAAAAGGTTATATCACATAAGAAATATATAAAAATCTGAAAATGTAATCTTGTTTTTTCTTGTCCCGTAAAAATAATACCAATGACAAAAGTTTAAAAAGATCAATCATCGATCTTGTTTTGTCTCTGTGTTGACAGCAGGTTTTTTGATTTGATCGTCGTTTAAATCTGCTAGCCAATACCGAATCTACCGAATTTCAAAGATTATGGGACGTGTTTCTTATTAAAAATCTTTTAAATTATTTAACTTAAAACGATTGAATGGATTTGTGATTGAAACAGTTAAAAAAGATTTTTAAGTGGTGTGGAATTTTAAAAATCTTATATTTAAAATATGTTAAAAAGAGAACCTTTTCAAAAATTACTCTTTTCTTATGATAACGAAAGCTAAATGTCCCAGTTATGGGTGAATGAAAAAGATGTAATTAAGTTACATTTAAGTGCAGTGTAGGAAAATGTAGAAATTTCATGTAATAGAATTTAAAAACATTAAATGCTTTGTTATAATGTTATAAAAATGGTCAAATGATATTTTCATGTGATAAAGAATTTATAATTACCAATAATTTATTGATGACACCAGTGGACATATGGTCAGTTGGTTGCATCATGGGCGAGATGATTCGAGGAGCTGTCATGTTTCCAGGAACAGATCGTATCCTTTAACATCATCAGTTGGCATGTTGCGTGATTGATGCTTTTCTTCAGATGTTGGATTATAATAATTTATTAGCTCTATGTTAATTGATTAATTACTTTTAGCTTAAATCTGTGTTGATAATTTCCTTGACTATAATGTTTAATTATTAAAATGGTATCTAATGAATCATTCGCCAACACAAAAATATTTTGGCCAATCTTGGATGTTTCTCAATGATATCATTCAACTCTTTCAAATGTTGACAATTGTCTTGCGTTGAAGACATTGACCAATGGAACAAGATTATAGAGCAGCTAGGCACGCCCTCGGCTGACTTCATGCAGAGACTGCAACCTACCGTGAGGAACTACGTGGAGAACCGACCAAGATACAATGGATACACCTTCGATAAGCTCTTTCCAGACGTATACTTTCCTCCTGACAGCACGGAGCACAGTGGTTTGAAGGCAGGCATGGCAAGAGATCTGTTGCAAAAGATGCTGGTCATTGATCCTGAAAGAAGAATAAGCGTTGATGATGCTCTCATGCATGCTTACATAAATGTCTGGTTTGACGAAAGTGAAGTCAACGGAGTATGTTCAAATTTAATTTTTTAAATTCTTGGAAAAAATTTTTGCAAATAGTTTTGAACTGAGATAATTTTCTGCTATATTTGCTGTTATTTTTCATTTTTTAATCTTGATAGTCTCAAGTTTATTTCATCTTCAATCAACTTTCACATTTTCATATATCAATATAATTTATCTTTCGTTTCAAATAATCGTGAAAAATGTTCTCATTCTTTTATTCTATTTTTTCTTATCCTCATTTTATATCTCATTTCATCTAAGCTAGTTTCACTTTTCAACTTTATTTTAATGTTATTTTGTTAGGCGAATAAATTTTCATAATTGTTTTAATTATAATTTCCCAGCCCCCTCCTGCTCAATACGATCATTCAGTAGATGATCGTGAACATACTGTAGCACAATGGAAACGTTTGTTCACACTTTTCACATTGCTTTCATTTGTGTTCTTAATCTACTTTATTTCACTAAAGATTGATGGGTTAAGAGTAAAACAAATGGTATGCAAACATTTACAAACAAACAAAATATGCAGAACTAATATACAGAGAAGTTGTCGAATATTCCTCTCCAGTTCGACACAATAGCTTACAACAACAAAACAACAACAACGCTCCCTCTATGCAAAACCATGCCTCATCTGGTTCGCTAACTTGCTATTCGTTTTTTTTTTCATTACTTAATATGAGTTCGGTTAACTTTATAAATGACATGATGCGAACGAACATCGCGCCATCTTATATTTTGTCACATTTTGTTCATTTTGTCATCTCTGTTAGACTGGGCGGTGTAGTGTAGTGGTTGAAGGCGTCGCCTGTTGCTCGATTGTGTATATTATGCATATTACACACGAGTGTACCTGAGGTACCGACAACAACATCGTCATACACATATGATCGCCACTTTACATGTTTGTTTCAGAGATCTCAAGCACACTGGAGGCGGCTGCCGAACCATCTGCGTCTCACAACAGGAGGAAATGAATCAACGTCCTACCTTTAACTAACTGTGCAACGTTAAACATCATGTCTATCGACGATATCACTTAGACATTTTCATCACTATCAAAACCTCTGATTGCATCATCGTCGTCATGGACTACATCTTCGTCACATCATCAGCATCGACGTCACACTACTTCATCGTCAACATCTCCATCACATCACATCCACCGTCAACATCTCCATCACATCACATCCACCAACACCATCAACGTCACCCTGTTGATGTTCCAATTTTAAGTACAACGCCATTAATAAGCGTTCTGATGTTAATTAGTTATAAAGTTCTTACACATCCTCATGCTTACAAATACGCGTCAACACAGGCACCACACGTGTATGTACAAATATGTGTGTGTGTGTGTGTGTGTGTGTGTGTGTGTGTGTGTGTGTGTGTATTTATATGTATATTTCGTTTATATATATATAGTATGAATGTGTAAAGGGTTGGGAAATGAAGATATGTAAATATGTGCATTTATGTGCGTGTTTGAATTCGATGAAGTTAGTCGAATTCTTAAACCTTTTCGTAGCATTTGTAACAGCTTTTGTTATTTCCTCATCTGCGTCTGAGCTTGCAGACGTAGGAGGATCAAAGTTTCGAATGCGTCGTTTAATTGACGAGCATTCATGGCTTGCCATCTCGATGGTGCAGGCTGGCTGTTGATCAGGTTGGCACATATTGTTAATTTGAAACGATGGATCGTTGGAAATAAACGTTTTATTAATTTGTATACATTTGTTTTACAGAGACAAAATATATATCTGCGTTGTATCTGTATAGGTTCATCTTGTTGTTAACTGCTCGCAATTCATCTACCTATATGAAATGAATAATTCAGCCGACCGATCGCACGCTGCATCCTGTCCAGCATTAACATTTCTTCTTGTTCTTCACTTGTGCACACACAATCATTGTAAGAAAACTAAATTATAAGTTTTTAAGATTTCAAAAATTTTCCAGTACAAAATCCATTCCTTCGTTGAAACTGTTGAATCAATTGAAACTAAAATGTGTTAAACATTGTACGCCGTTGTTATGTCACTCTGACTTCATCTGAGGGAGTTGTAGTTGAACAATCTCCAAAATACGAAATGAATGAAAATATGAAGCGGCCACCTCTTCAGCTGGGGCAGCGTGCACGCATTCACAAATATCTGGAAAAATGACGGGTTCATTTTTTGGTCAGGTGAATGTTTAGCGCGCATGTTTTTAATCTTCATTTATTTAAAAGGCTTTTTAATTCGTCAAATTCAGAGCTATGATGGTAGTTTATATATATTTGCATTATGTGTTTGTGTGTGTGTGTGACACTGTTGGTCTGCAAATTCTCATTTCTCATCCCTATATACTCACGTACTACTACGTCAACACCGTACATAAATGTGTGTGTGTGTGTGTGTGTGTGTGTGTGTGTGTGTGTGTGTGTGTGTGTGTGTGTGTGTGTGTGTGTGTATTTTCACATGTTTATTATACTGATAACAATATAGTGGTTCAAAAATGACATGTTTGGTTATAATTTATTTATTTGCTACAATTTTTATGTCGCTGTAATGTAATTGCCAGCTTGTGGATGAACTTTGTTGTTAATGTAGAACTTTTTCAATGTTCCACGAGCCATACATCCATACACACCCTTCCATTTGGACTGTCTTTATGAAATGATTTTTATTCGTTGTTGTTGTTGCTCTTGTTGGTAATATCGCCGTTGTGTTCGTTTGTTAGTGTCAAAATGGTGAGGTTTATTTTGTTTTAGTGGTTAGGTGAATGTTTATATGCACTGCAGGCATCTAACTTGTGATTTCCAGCTTAATAACTTTTCATTATTGTTGTTCACGATAAATTTTAGGTAAATCTCCTTAAAGATATATTTTTAGTTTTTAAAAATTATGACTCGCTAACTTTTGATTCAGACGAATTTCCATTTTATTTGATGTCACGTTCAATGGGCTCTCATTTTAAGCGTTAAATAATGTTTCAGCGAAATCACATTCATAAAATGGTTATTTATCGAGAAATTGAGTTATATTCACATCTACGCATATTTAGTCAAGCTCTGATAAAGTGCTTGTTTAGAATAACATAATATTAATATATTAACTTTCTTCCTTCATTAGATTTGCCTGTTCACAGGATAGTCATCATTTTACTATGAATTTTCTTAATGAATATAATATGTATAATTTGTATATATAAATGGAATGTAGCACGTGTTAATGAACGTTTAATACGGATGGGCATATTCAGTTTGTGTCTGACTTTCGTTTAGCTCTTATCTGACTTTGAACAGGTCTGAACGTCGCTACGAGCGTTTCATGTGGTAAGTCGTGTTTTTACGACCGCTCATTAAAGATTGATGCCATGTTTGTATTTGTTTTTTAATCTCCATTCAAGAATTCTTTTTTTTATTTCATAATTTCAAAGTAATCGATTTACGAAAAATCGCTGGTTTCAACGACGTAACATCGTTCCTATCTCTTGGTAATATAATTTATCTCTGGAGAAGTTTTGTTTCTCATAATTTCGTTTCGCGTATTTTTTCCCAAGTATTATATGTATATACGTGTTTGCTTGTTTTGGTTTTTCGTCGTTTGCGTACTGAATAACTCAAACAAAAACTATGTAGGTAGCTACAGAAACAAATCAAACTGGTAAACATTCAAAATTAAGTCAAATTTTCGATTGAAATTTTTTTTCGGTACTCGTGCAATTCGACATTCCATAATTTTAGTATAGGAATTGAACTACAGTAATTACTTAGATCGGAAAGCTTTTGCGTCGTTGTTAAATAATCCGCAATCGGTGTTCACGTCCTGTTGGAAGATGCGCTATTTAAAATATAATGAATGTGTGACGTCAACACTTCTCTTACTTCCGGCAAAGTGCACCTGCCTAGTTAGAAGATGTCTGAGCTGATAACTTTGTATATTTGCGATGCAGCTTAAACAATAATGTTTGTAATCAGCACGTATCGTAGTTATATAATGACTTCTTAAACTCAAATATAGAGGATAGTAATAACAATAAAATGTTACATTAACGTATTTTAAAATTTTTTTAAGAAGCTTTTGTTTTATCACAAGGCAGTGTTTTTAAGATGTAACGCTAAGGTATAACCAGAGTGTCTAAATCGGAAAATGTTATATTTATTTTTTAAAATTATATTTTTTTAAAATAATAATATATTAAAATAAATTAAAAATAATAATATAAAAAAATAACTACGGAAAATGTTATTTATTTTCTAAAATTATAATTTTTTCTAAAATTCTTTTTTCAAGATAGTGTTTTTTAGAGGATAAATATATGTAGCGATAAGTAATCATCTTTAATACTGAAAATAATGCTAATAATATAAATAAAATCACATAATTTTTTCCCTGTATGTTGTAAAACATAAAAATGAGGTAATTTTATTGAGAAAAACAATTACGTTGAGTGATTTTAAGGTTTTTTTAAACTATCAGTAGTGAAAATAAGATAAAATTATGATGCAAAAGTTGAAAAAATTTTCTGGAATTCGTGAATCGAAAATTTTTACCCAGAGTCGGATTTACCTGAGGGACTAGAATCGGAGTCGGGAATCGGATTTTTTGAGGAATCGGATAATTCTCTCCCGACTTCGGCACTGAATATAACAAACTTATTTCTGAGTATAAGAATTCGAAACTCTGCCTTTAACCAAGTTGACCGGTAGTTTGGTTTTTTCTGTTTATTTTTCACAATATGTGAAAATAATTAGATCTCAACTTATTCCCTTTTTTATTTATTTCGATAAAACCGTTGCTAATTTTAACTGTTCGTACATTTCAAACTCACCTTCATAAAAACAAACACGTGTGCACACGCATTCATTTTAGTTCCTTTGTGATTAATTGGTACAAAAATGATTTTCGATTTTTATTTACAAATTTTAATGGTAGATTGAACTTGTCAATGCGTGTCAAGTAATCATGATTAATACTTCATTTATGTTTCAGTCAAATATATTTACCTACAAAGTTGGAAATATTGTTTTGCGTTATTAATGTTTCACTAGATGGTGTAAATAAAGACTAGTGCTTGTCGTTGAAGTTTTATATGAAGAAATAATGCACAGCCTGAATTTGAAAGAATGTTCGAACATTATGACGTCACTTGTTCATACATTTGCCTCCATATTGAAACCAACATGGGTATTATGTAGTAGTGCTAAAAGCTGAACGTTAATGTTAGTTTAAACCTATTTGTACAAATTTTAAAAGCTGAACGTTAATGTTCGTTTAAACCTATTTGTACAAATGCCTTCGAAGATTACATTTCTGCCGTGCTGTTATATATATTATATATATAAATATATATCTATAATATAACACACACACACACACATATATATATATATATACAAATATATATACATATATATATATATATATATATATATATATATATATATTCGAAATATTGAGAAATGTAATAAAAAAACTTAAAATTTAAAATTACTAGAAATTTAAATTATTGCATATATATATATATATATATATATATATATATATATATATATATATATATATATATATATTACAATATTACAATATATATATATTACAATATTCTTTACAACGTCAAAGTTCATCTTGACAAAGTCAATATTTCCCTATATATACAGCAAGGAGCACTGATGATGATTCATTCGGAATGGAAATATGGCCTTATTTGCAGCATGAATTCGAAAAATAAGTTTATTTTGAATTTTAATAAACTAAACGTTCACCAAAAAACTTTAGTGAGAAAAATCGAAAAAACGAACTACAAACATATTAACGCCAAACATTCGGTAGAATTTATAGAATATTGTAAATATATATATATATATATATATATATATATATATATACAATATATATATATTATAATATTCTTTACAATGACAACGTCTTGACAAAGATATATATATATATATATATATATATATATATATATATATATATATTCAAAATCGGGCTGCCAAGTTGTTAACTGGTGATTCATATTTTGATCATGTTACTCCTATTCTCTTCAATCTTCATTGGTTGCCCGTTCAACAAAGAATTGTCTTCAAAATTGCCCTACTGGTGTATAAAAGCATTAATGGATTAGCGCCGAAATATTTAATGGATCGAATTGTTCCAAAAAATGCACCGTTACAGTGTCAGAAGTTACGGTCAAACGATTTAGATTTGTTAACAATTCGACAAACTCAGCTTGCTGTTGGTTGCAGAGATTTCGCTGGGACCGAAGATTTAGAACAGTTTGCCGGTTGACTTGCAAAATCGTGGGTTGTCAATTACTGAATTTCGAAGAAAGCTAAAGAACCATCTTTTCAGACAAACTTTTCATGATATGATTTGATTGAAGTGAAACATTTAATCAACTTTTGCATTAGCGCATTTTATCAACTTTTACATTGTTAGCGCCTTTGAGAACAATAAAGGGCGCTTTATATATAAATAATCTAATAATATATATATATATGTTATTGGTAAAAGACCATAATTTGAAAACCAATAAATTTAAAAGGAGGAACATTAAAAAGGAAAAGAAAGTGAATAGCTTTAAAAAATAATAAGTTTTTATGTTCTTTTTGAAAATGTCAAAGCTTTGTCGAAGTTTTTTCAAAATTTTGCTGGCTTCGATAAGAAATGTGAAATAAATAAAAAATCTAAAATAAAACAAAGCAAATGAAAAATACTCATAAATTAAAAATAATGGTAAATAAATGAAATAACTAAGCAAAGAAGTATGTGTATATATGCGACAAATGTAACTGGTATAAGTATACCTTACGTAATACTACTTCGTAAGCGCGAACTTTGGAGATGAAAATATAGAAAGTGAGACCGTGAGAAGTATGTAAGAGGTATTTTAAATGTTACAGTTACGATCATAGGTCATTCATATTTAAAATTAGTGTTTTTTATCTTGTTTATGTTTTCAAGTCACAGATGTTGTCTCTGTTTCTTAATAAGTATTAAGAGATACCAAATATTTTTAAAATGTGGAGCGGAAGATTTGAGAGAGCTAGCAATCATCACTTGATGAAAACTTTCAACTCTTCGTTTCATTTAGATAAAAGATTATACGAAGAAGATATAATGGTCAGTTATGAAATTGTGAAATTATTTTTTGTGATTTATTTTGTAATTATATGTGTCATTTCTATATAAATTATTTTTCCACATAACTATTTTACTTTCAGATTTATTTTTAGCAACTGAATTGTTATTTGTGTGTTTATGTCACACATTTAACTCAGTTTGGTAATTAGGTAAGGTATACAAGATGACCCAACTGTAAACATAGGTCCAATTTTTTAATAAAAAGAAAAAATTAAACTTGACAATGATGATAACTGAAAGTTTATCATTTTAACTTCAAATAATTTTTTTTCTGAAGACCCGGTCTCATAACTTTTATATTGTAATCTGACCACAGAAAATATGATAAACCAAAGATTACGCACCACACCGTTGTATCTAACGAGCTACATAATTTCAAAAATAATAATTTCAATAATAATTCAAAAAATAAAATGATATGACGTTTTGTTTAACTGTATTATTAAAAACGAGATGAAAAATTAGTCTAGCGTCAATGTAATGTATCTTCTCCTTCCATCCAAACTAAAGGTCGTATCATCCATTCCAGACAACAGAACCCATTACGGAAAAATTTCTTCGACAAAGAGCTAAGTTTATGTCAAGTACAAACAGTAAACCTGAATTGTCAATGGAAATGTTTGATTCAACAGTGGCATTGTTCTAGGAATGATTCTGTCGGTTAAATATTTATATTGATACATTTAAAAACCGTTAAACATGTCTTGAAAATAACTCTCTAACAAAAAAAGAGCAAAAAAATGGCTTGACGTGGTGGTATTTAAGGCCACCTAAAACCAACCTTGCAGTCCAATTTTGAACTGGCTGCAGTCTAGCCATATTTACACCAGACAGGTCTTAATATTGACTATTGCAATAGTCTATTTTTGAGTAGATAATGGAATGAACAAGATCGTTTGATGAGCCTAAGTCTACGCAATTGTTTCAAGCATTCTTTTGAAACTGCCCTATTGTGAAAGTTAAAATACATGTTATCAAAAACAAAACCCAGGTTGTGTGCAAATGTGCAAAATTCAATGCCAGAATTTCCAAGTCTGATGGACTCAATGTTCATTTTTTCTAATTGCTCCCTAGTGCCAATCGGTATAAACTGAATTTTTGATTGATTCAATTTAAGCCTATTTGACATCATCCGTTAAATAATTTTTGAAAAACATGATCTGAGTCTACGGACAAGATCATCAAAACGACAAAGGGGGCACTAGCAATGATCTTATTATCACCAGCAAAACCGTGAGGTTTAAAGTTATATCTGTCAATGATTTTGAAAATATGTGCAGTGTACAACACAAACAGGAGGGAGCCGAGAATCGACTTCTATGGAACACCATGTGACACAGTTTCAACGTGTGTCAGGTTATATCTGGAAAGAACCTGTTGCGTACGAACAGAAAGATATGACTCAACCATTGAAGAACAACACCATATATTCCAAATGAATATTGAAGCTTGCGTAAAAGCAATGAGTGATCGACACAATCAAAGGCAGAGATCACATCTAAAAGAGCAAGCAACGACACATTCTGATCATCTGGGGAGAAATACAAATTAGAACAAACATGCAATAAAACCGTCTCAGTTGAATGGAACTGACGATAACCAGATTGGTTTATCAGAAAAAGACTATTAGTGTTATAGTGTTTAAGTTAGAGACAAGTTACTGAAAGACTATGCGTATATATGTTATATATATATATATATTTGTTATATATATATATATATATATCAATTAGATAAATCAAATATATTTATATATATATATATATATATATATCAAATCAAATCAAATTTTGTATTTATATAGTGCCAAATATAATTGGTTCTCATCGGCGCTCTCCTCGCATAAAGCGTGTTGAAAGCGTAATATATATGCTTTCCTACAAAGTTTTTTGTATTATATCAAATTAACATAAAATGTCACACAAAAAATCATTTTTAAATCTGTATGCCCCCGCCGGCTAAAATTCTTTGCAATGCCACTAAAAAGATGAAAAGAATTTAATGATAATGATGACAATTGAAAAAAACGTTTCATGAAGAAGTTTGAAAAAAGCTTTATATATAATATTTAAAAAATAGCTTCTGGAATAAACTAAATTTAAAATTTTTTCTGGGTTCATTAATAACATTTTTTATGTTTCACCTAAAAAATAAATTGCTTGACATTCACATTTTTAAATGCATTGTTCTATCACCGCCGTTTCAATTAAAGTGCAGCATAGCTTACGCTAGAGGACAGTTTGAAGCTGGTTTGATATCGAAGGATGATAGCGAATCCATAGAAAACGGACTTAAAAAGGTATTTATTTATTTTCCACTTTTCAATCGAGTTACACACAGGAATTGAACTATAGCACTATACATATAATTGGTAACTTGGTTTTTATCACTATATTCTATCTTTCTACTCTCGCCAATTGCCCGAACTCATCATAATGTATGAGATCTTCTGCGCACTTATGATGAATGTGTGACTTCAATGCTGCTCTTTTTTCTTGTAATGTTTATAATGAAAAGAAGATGATAGTAAAACACCAGTGTAGAATATCATAGGTTTATTCGATAGGTTAAGTTTGGTAAAATGTTTTGAAGAACTAAATCATATGTAGACGGGATTAAAATATAAACAATCGCCCTGATTCACTGAGTTTAAGTTTCAATAATATTTAAATAATTTTTTTGTTTCTTTTTTATAATTTTGATTAATTAGAAACAATTACTGATGGATGACTAACGTGCAGATAAAAGAGGAGTGGGAGGAGGGTGTCTTCCCGGTTCATGAAGGTCAAGTGGACGAAGACATACATTCTGCTCACGAGAGAAGACTGAAGGCAACTTATTTTATAAGTTTAAATGCTGATTTATATATATATATATATATATATATATATATATATATATATATATATATATATATATTATCAATTATTATCAAACACTTATAAAGCGCCTATTAAAATAAATATCTCCCACAAGCGCTATCGAAAAAAGAAAAATAATAAACGAACAGTGAAATAATGTACATCCTATCAATAGACGATATGATACAATCAATTACAATCGTTCATCGCAAATAGATAAGTTTTCAAATTCTTTTTGAAATCAACAATGTTCATCTTTGACATTCTCATCGACATTGGCAGACTATTCCAGACGATTGGTCCCGACACTGCAATGTCTCTAGACGATGTCTGCAGCTGCGTAGTTGGTACAATCAACAAATTGACGTCATCTGATCGCATGCGTCTGCCAGTCGAAGACAGCGGCTTCTTTATGAATCTATCAGCCAGGTATTCTGGGAGTTGTCCGTTTATGGCCTTGTACATAATGACGCATATTTTGTAAAAAATTCGTTTCTTCACTGTTAGCCAATGGAGGCTATTCAGAATTGGCGTCACATGATCGTATTTTCTGCCTCTAACAATCACCTTTGCAGCTCTGTTCTGAATAG